TGCTATACCACCATTGACTCGAGCCTTGGCCATTCAAGCAGATATCGTAGGCCTTGAAGGGGAAGGTCATCAGCCTCCTTCTCCCATTTCCCACTGCGGTCCCTGTCAGGGGCATATGCCTGTGAGGGCATGTCTTCTAGTTGAACTGGACTGTTGAAGTAGATGCGTATTCGAGAACTGTTGGAGATGAGGCGTGGATTCAGACAACTCCGGAGTGGAATTGGAGACTTAGCGTGGAAGGACCTTGGCCTCAGCGACTCAAGTGGAGCGCTGTGCCATTGCTGTTTGTCCATTTGGTCCTTAATTTCACAGTAGGCGAGCAGGAAGTCTCTAGGGGGCATTTCAGGTCGATTTTGGACTGAGGCCAAAACGAGTATGTACAAGCACCGATATATATAATGGAGGGGGCAAAAGCACAAGGAAACAAAGGGGATCCGAATCGTAACGAAGGCATCCGAACGGGAACAAAGGGATGACAGAAGCGGAGCGGTACTGAAAGTCATAAAGCAGAACCTGTGATACGTCCGAAAGGAGGTAAGGAGGGCGAGGCCCAGAGGGGCAGGAGGATGAGGAGAAGTGGGGATGATGACTAACTGGCTAGAATGGGAAGAAGCAGCAGTCCAAATAGGGATGAGGGGAAAACGCGAGAGATACATTACAAGGGGCGAAAGTGCCGAAGATGATCCACAAAGCTCGGAGGTTGCGGAGCTCACAGAGGTGGGGTTGAAAGTCCAAGGAATATTGGCAATGGTGTTTACATAGTATGAGGTCACCAATGCAATGGACTAAGACTGAGGTGGAGTCAAAGTCCGAGGTAGGGACTATGACGGAGGCTCGGAGCAAGGTACGAGCGGTGCCTGAGTACAAAGTATGGGACAGCAGTGGAAGGTCGTAACTTGGCAGGAGGTTGGCAGAAGAGTACCAGAGGGAAGAGAGAGGAGAAAGGGAAGAGGGAGGGAGTGGCAGAAGGAGAGTTGTCAGGTCCGAAGGTGAGTATCAGAGCAGACGGGAGAAGCGTAGGAGGGTGACGGAAGGGTGGAGGTGTTGTGAGGGAGGAGTGGAGGAGTAGGAGGAGGAGTAGTAGGAGGGTGGCGAGGGGGGTGGTGTTCGGTCTGAGGTGAGTAACGGAGTGGACAGAGATAGGGGAGGAGAGGGGAGGTGGAGTGGAGGTGGCATCGGAGGTAAGAGGAGGTGTGTTGCCAGGACCGAAGGTGAGTATCGGAACGGACAGCGGTAGGGTAGGACTCCAGAGGTGGGGAAGGAGGAGGTCCGGAAGTCGGGTTGGGATCGGGTATGCACGGATATGACAAGAACTCTCTGTTGAACTTTGATCTGGGAAGGCTTGGCGATAGAGAAATCGGGCTGGTGGCTCTCAAACCATGTGTCGGTCTCGCCCCTGGGTCATTCATGTCCCCTTGAGCAATCACCGTGCCCAATGCCCATCCAAGGAGCGGACAATCCATGCCAATGACTCTGAAGTCCATCAAGTCCTCCTGGAACCTTTTTCCCATCTAGATCCAGAGAGTGTCATATCCATTCCCGGCCATCGACTTCCGGGCTCTCCGCCCCCTCCGTTCTAACTCCGCTCCCCCCTCACCAACTTCGGAGCCCCCATATTCCGCAAACCTCCCGGTACCCCTCAATGGTCACCACCCCCTCATTTCAATTTATTACCTACGCCTCCCTAAGTACGGAGCCCCGAAGACTTCCGGACAGCTCCGACGTCCGCTAGCGCACTCCCGCCTCCGCTGGGCAATACACTCGCCTGCCCTGCAGAGTCCACCTTCGGGCTTATCCCTCCTTTCCGTTTCTGGGTTAACGCCTGCCTTCCCGCTAACCCCACGAACCGACTTGTCGGTAATATTCAGTCGGCTAATGTCTTAACCCCGTTAGCTCCGCTCCGTCCGGCTCCGCCAATTGCGGAACCGTCTCCGCTGTAACCATATATATACACTACTTGTACATAGGTTACGCCCCAGCAGATAAATCAACTAGAGTTACCCCCACTAGGTTCTAAGTGCCAGTCAGTAAGTTAGGGCACGGACGTGTCACTAGGCACAGCGCTCCTGGCAGAAGTCGCTGAGGCCAAAGCCCTCCGTTATGGAGACATTCCTTCGTCTTAAATCTGGTCTCTGACAGAGAGCCCATGACCATCTCTGGGGCGATTAAGATTCGCCAAGGAATGACCATTTGGTAACTGGGGATTGAAGAGGAGATACCAGATGTGAAATTGGATAACAAGTTGGAAGGCTTCAAAGAATTGGAAACATTGTGAAATGTCCCACCATCTACAAGCCCAGGCATCAAGTCATTAATGGCAGGAATGAAACTCCAATTTGACCCACGAGTCGCCAACCCCCTACTTTGCATTGGCCATGCATTTGTTTGCGCTATTAGCCAAACCACCTTGCGGTGTATTTCTGCCACCCCAAACATGGCATGCCCCCTGAAAAATTGTGCTGAGCCTCCCCATCGCACGAAACTGGTCAGCAAAGTAGAAGCAAATACAATGGCTGATGAACCGGGTTTGGAGGGAGGCTGCTGGGAAGACATCCATCCAGACTGGTTGTGAGTTGATCCACTCATTGGGCAGGAGAATCCTTGGTGTTGACAATAAAGTTGGGGGCAGGGATACTATGGGAGCGCTTGACCAAAGGCTTGAGGCTCTCACCTGCCAGGTTCAGGACTAAATTTCCCATTAGGTACGGGGTTCTACCCATTAGCTCAACATCAAGTGTATGTCATGCAGGCCACTGCCAACTCAACCTCGATGCCAGAGGAGGGCAGTGGCAACATGACATCGTTCTAGGGTTGGATCAATAATTAAAGTACTGCACATTGTAGGTGGGATAATCGCCCACGTGCAGAGCCGGCTCAGATACCCGATTTCACGACTATAAAACCACTTCCATTCACACAACAACCCAATACAAATTCGATATCTAAAAATAGTCCTAATTCTTACGATTCTGACGATAACAAGAACGTCCCAATTGGTGGAGATTTGACAGAGTTCCGTGTTGGAGAAGTTAGGCACAGCAGGTCACGAGCATGTGCGGGCGTGGGAATCTCAAGCGGCAACCCAGAATTCCAGCCTCACCCGTTCCCACGGCGTCTAATAAATTGGTAAAAATGCTTATCGGCTGCGTGAGAGTTATCTCCGGCTACATTTCCAATTTCGGCTCATAATTCCGTAAATCCGTTGAGATATCGCTTATTTTCTTTTATTTTCATATTTTGCCATCATTTCAGTTATTGATTGATATTCTTTTATTGTTACTGTTACCCTTTTTTATTATTTCGCCTAATAAGGTATGCAGGTGCCATATGGTACCAATATTTCCCATCAATTATTCTAAAAATAATTGTTCCTTATATCCTGTACATACCGGATTTTGGAAAAAAAGTTCTCCCCTCCCCCAATTTCTCTAAGGTGCTAGGACGCACTAGAGTTGGAGTGAGTGTGTGGAATCCAACAGTAGGAATAAGGGCAACTGTCTAGCCCACAACGAGTGGGTAGTAGATTAGTTGAGCCCGGACCTTGTGGAATCCTGGAGAACCCACACCGGAGTTAAGGATCGAGATAAGCAGAGTATAGTCAAGAAAGTAGGAGTTTAGGGAGTTTGGCCCCCATGAGCTTAGTCGGCATAAAGAGCCATGAGCCCTCTTTCAACGTCATCGAGGTAGTTGGGAAATAACTCATTATTTATCTCGCTCCCATCTCGTTCCAACAGTGCTCAATGTGTTCTCTTCTCTTTCACTCCAGTTACCACTTGAGTCAGCCAAAATCATGGTTACAAATTGAGTGAAAGATTGAAAACGAGGATGATAGGTGGTGGCTGTTTTGAAAATGAGCAGGCAAGCAGTGGCTTGGATGGTGGAAGTTTGCGTTATCTGCGATGAGGTCATGAGGAGGGGTATGGGTAAAGGCATGAAAGTCCTGCGGGAGTCCACAGAAGGATCATGTGGAGGCAAGCGATAACACACACGAATTCAAGTTGTCAATGGGATAAGGCTGACCATTGGAAGCAACGAAAGAAAGAGTGACTGGAGTAGGGGTTGATGTGGTAGTTACGGATCTTCTCAAAACAGGTCTCAGAGGCTGTGGTCATATCACACTGTTCCTCAAATACAGGTGCAAGTGGACATATACCTTTAATGCAAGAAAGGTCAATCACACCAGCCTTTTGACATCCGTGCATGTCAAATTCTTGAGTAACCTGATACATCCCAGTGTCTCCACTAGGTCGCATGGGGATAGGGGTATACCAGAGCACATGCGCAAGCAGCCTGCCATCAGGATCGCAGTACCGCTTATCGATTCGATGGTGAAATACAAGACGGAGCTCTGCTGGACAGTATCCTGGGAAGCCATGGTATGAAGAACCATGTAAGGTCTCATGTCTATTGGGTGAGGAAATAAGGACAACTCACGGTGTAACCCATCTGATGTATTCATCTTGATCAAGACTGGCGAGAACAGAGAACGGCTCTGAGTTCTACTTTTTGCTTTGCAACTGATCATCACAGATTCTTCTTCAGAGAATTTGTCGCAAGGAGGTGTAGTGAGTCGGAAGTGGTCCCACATATCGATGAAGCGATACTCTTTGGGGGGTCCCTCAATTCCATACTCCCACCATCCACCAGGTGATGATCCATCATAGCCATTTAAATCCAGCATTCGGCCTATTGATGAAACCAGATCTGGGATGCCATGCGATTCCATGAGCTGATTGACAGGACAAGCACAGTAATGGGGTTCTTTTGGGATCTTGATGCTGAGTGGAATGTTACTAACACCGAGCCCAACAGGGGTACTAACAACAGCTGGATCGGGGGATGGGCTTACATCGTTCTGTTGAATAACAGTTTCATCTGCTGTGATAACTTGGGTTTGGGTTGTAGAATTCTATCAATGAGGATCGTTAAAATCGACAATGACAGACTAAGCCACCACTCACAAGGTATGTTTGGTTTCTGGTCCGGAATGCCTTGTACGATCACTGCAAAGCTAACCGATCATGAATTTCCAAGTGGTTGATAATCTGTTCATCATATTCACAGCGGTTAGTGGCATGGTAGGGATCTTTGCACATTTCTAATTGCAGAGATTCAGGGGTTTCCATGGAGAAGTTATCAGGTGGTCCTCCTACAATGACGTCATCGACAAAGTGTTGCAATCCATGTAATTTGGGTATTCGAAAATGTGATGCCTCACATGCTCCTCTGTGGATAAGAACATCTTTGTTGTGGTGGAATGTAGAAAGTAGGTCCTTCATCTTGTCAAGATGGGCTGCTGAGAGTGAGGGATATTGTGCCATATAGGCGAAGTCCAGAATGGATTGGGTTGAATGTCAGGATCCGGACCCCAGCTGGGAGTGGCCGGAGGGCGAGGCCGGGTGTGGATGCTGGGGTACTCTCCCCAGGTGCTAACTCCTCGAAGTCGCTGAGGGGACTGGCCTCAGCCTTCACAGGGAATGAGCTGCTATTCATTGAAAAGCGGGTAAGTACACTTGCCTTCACAGGGAATGAGCTGAGAAGAAGGGTAAGCTTCTCAGCCCCCTGTGAGGCCGACACAAAAGGACCCTAGGAACTATACAGTTCCCGCTTGCTGCCGACTTTCCATAACGGGTGTGACCCGTGGGAAAGTTCTGGGCGAGCTGCTCGCCCAGAATGTTCCCACGGTTGTGGCTGTACATTTCTGGGCGAGTCGCTCACCCAGAACGTTCCCACGGGTTCGCGCGCGCGCGTCATTATGTGAAACAGTGGGGGAAGGATAAGGGGAATGGGGAAATGTGGAGAGAGGGTGGTTAGGGAAAGGGTGAGGGTGTCTGAGGGTGAGTGGGGTCAAGGGCCGTGCCCTGACATTGAACGAATGACTTTGTTATCAATGTTTTTGTGGCCAACAATCACCAGTAATATGGATCGTTGATGTGTCTGGTGCTCCTGCCCAGATGCCTGTGAAATTTTCGATACCCCTCCAGTGAAGACGCGATAGTGAAGTGGAGGCTGGGTCATGAAACGTCAGTCAAGTTCGTCAGCACCAAGCAACTTTTTGAGCCATTCACCGGGATGGTCCCAGACAAACTTGTGTATCCCATGTAGGATATCCTGTTTGATGAAAACATATGGGTCTACCCCAAGACCTTCCCAGCATGGGTCCTCAATTGTACCAGATAGTCCTAGCCTGAGCTTCTTGACTTCTTGTCTGAACTCATAGACGGAAGCAGAAGGGAATTTTGCACAGACGTTTCTGAGCGCCAAAATGATCATCTCCCCTGTACAGAGGCCGAAACACTCATGTCATTCCAGATCCTCAAATACAGCAGAACATACTGGGCAACCGAAATTCTGTACCCCAGCAATAAGCAGCTGCTCCTCCAAGTCAGCAATCCAAGCCATCAAGATGGCCAAACACACTCGAAGTCTCCCATCAGGCGATGGCATGATTTCATATGTCCTTCAATCTACCCTCAATGGTGCAAGTACCAGTTTCATGCACTGGTGAAACAGACGGTGGGAAAGAATCCCAGGCATGGATTCTCGCTCTGTCTTGCTTCCGGTAAAGCAAGTTTTGGAAAACTTGGAAATCGGTATTTTGGCAAGGAGTAACCATGCACGGGCATTTCGCTTTTTCCTAACATCTTTGGAGATATTGCCTAGCGATATATAGATGGCATGCATCTTCTTGTCACCGGTAAAGTTTGTAAGGTGCATCTGATCTGATGCTAGGATCACACCAAGGATTGTAGTCCCCTGTTCGAGCAATGACTAAATGGTTCACATATCATTATAGGGATCCTCTGGCATGATCGAGGCCTGCTTTCCCACCTGTTGGTAGTGCCATTCCTCTGCAGTCGTCATCTCTGTGAATACCCTCGTCCCATTTTGATTGTATAGGCGATTTGGTGTGTAGGCCATGCAACCATCGAAATCCGGATTCTGGAATAAGAACTGGACACATTCTACAGGGTTACGCCAATATAAGGTTTGCAGCTCCTCCGGAGCTTCCTTTAGGGTGATTACATCTGACTTCCAAGATGGAGGGCCTGGCATTTCCTTGATGCACTTGCGCATTTCTGAGGCATCACACCAGCTTGGAGGGTTTGGATGTTCGCTAACCTGACACAGAAGGTAACAATCTATTTTTTGCTAAACCAATCCATGGAAAATCATATTCACATACCCATTGTAGTTTTAGAAAGCGATAAAAACATCTCAATTGGTTGAAAATTGACAGAGTTATGTGTTGGGCAAGTTAGGCACGGCAGGTCACGAGTATGTGCAGGTGTGGGAATCTCAAGCAGCAACCCAGAATTCCAGCCTCACTTGTTCCCACAACGTCTAGTAAATTGGTGAAAATGCTTATCAGCTGCATGAGAGTTACCTCCAGCTGCATTTTCAATTTCGGCTTTCAATTCGGTAAATCCATTGAGAAATTGCTTATTTTCTTATATTTTCATATTTTGTATAGCACCTTGCGACAGGCCTTCCATGCTTAGCCAATGACACAATTCCCACTCCTGCCTACTCAGGAATGGTGCATAAGGTTTCCCTTCATCTTCGCTTCTGGCGAGCTTGTCCCAGAGCATCTCCACCTCACCCAAGAGGACTTTTCCAGTGCAAGGGTCCACAACCCTGGTCAAATTAGCATGGAGATCTTCATGTTCAGGGAGCAACTTCTCAATGCATGTCTGATCGTCCCCAAGTCCAGGGGAATTTCTTTGTTCACCACCTGTAATGTCATCCTGATCACTCTTGTCTATTCCACCAAAGCGAGTGTCACTGAGGGTTTCATCACAGCTAAGAGAGTCGCTGTTTTCAGACTGAGAAGCATCCTGGGATGGCTTGGGGGTGAGTCTTCAATATTGACAAGCTTGTTGAGCGGTATGCTGCATTTTTTTCCGACAGAAACCATTCCGATGCAAATGGTTTACCAGCCCACCACCCCTGCACTGACATACCTTCAGACACCATGGGCAGTGTTCATAACCCTTCCCAACAAGCAGGGGGGTCGCGAGCATTTTGTTAACAGACTTAAACTGAATTTGCAACCATTTACAATAAAGTTGGGAGAATCAAATTTAGCTTAAGTCTGCACATCCCTTCCTTTCAATTTTGAACTGAGTGATTTTCAGTTCGGACCATGAGCAGCTGCACACGCTCCTCAGTGGAATTTCTAAGACAAAAAAGAGGGATCCCAAAAATGTCGCAGATCCCCTTGTGCCTCCACCCAATCACAGGTGCACCATAGCAATAGGAGCAATGCTGCTGTCAAGGCTTGGGAGACTCAATGTGTGAAGCAAGCTGCCGCTAAGGAGACAAGTTCCAACCCTGATGCTGCACAACCAACTGCTGCAGAGAGTACTGGTGAGTGCAACACTTATCTTTCCTTAACATTGCAAAATATCAAAGGAACCTTAGTACACCTGGTTTCGACCAGGGAAGTGGTGTCACCTGAAACACAGACAGCCCTGACACAAGATAATCCCAGCCAGTGGAAGACTGCTCGGGCTTGATATCACGCTCTCTGTTAGAACTGGGCGAGGGCAGACGATTCCGGAGGGGAACTGGAGACTTAGCAAGGAGGGACCTTGGCCTCAGCGACTCAAGCGGAGTGCTGTGCCATTGCTGTTTGTCCATTTGGTCCTTAATTTCATAGGAGGTGAGCAGGAAGTCTCTAGGGGGCATTTCAGGTTGATTTTAGACTAAGGCCTAAAATGAGTATGTACAAGTGCCGATATATATAATGGAGAGTAACATCTGAAAAGTGTAATATCTCCCACGGGCTCCATGGTGTTGAAGTTATCCTTTTCTTTCTATTCAATCTCACTCCATATGAGTCACATGACTACTGAGTCAGACTTTACTGTTTCTACTACTTGTATAAACACTAAAGTCATCCTCAGAGGTGCCATAACCTGAATTACAACAGGTTATGAGCCCAGACTACTGAGGGCTTTCAGAATTTTCGCGCTTAGGCTGACTTTTCACCTATCTGCTTACTTCTCTATCCACCTGGTTGAAAACACACCTCCCTGCTGCTCAAATCAACCTCTGAAAGTCTCTCTACGCTAGTTTCTGCCATAGCACCCTGAGATTTGTTTCAATCGACGCGAAATCGCTACCACGTCATCACCGTTCGACGAACTCGACACCCTCCGATTTTCGCGCCGATCGAACCACACACTCTGCTGATAATTGACAAACAATTCCATCATCTTGGCACTGCTCTAGCTGCTCTATCCTTTGACGAATCGCGCTAAAATTTATACTCGACCTACTTCGTATATCGTTCTCGCAGCGCTGTCATTCCCGCATCGATCGCATCACTCATTCATCCGAAAATCGAGTTTTAAAATATAGCAATTCTTAAAACAGCTACAGCACCTCAGCAATTGTTCAGATCGTTTTCAAATCGATAGACAACATACATCGTTTAGGTCTCTATCATCACGCAAATTTTCGCGACGATCACATCACTCGCTTGCCTGTTATAAGGCAAACATTTCTACGATTTGAAACTGCTCTAGCGGCTCTACTTTCTTATCGATCACTTTGAAACTCGGACCAACAATTTGAACATTGACGACCTTTCGTCCCTCCAGTTTTCGCGCCGATCGCATTAGTCGTTTGCACAAACAATATCACCACATCCAACCTCCTGCATCCCATGTCCTATCAACACATTCCCAGCTGCACTCCCACTGCTTCCCCATCCAAATCCCTCCTTCACTGCACCTTTTGCAACACCAGGGGTTCACACAAGACCATTAATTGTCGGAAAATGAAGCAGTCTAGAAAACACTGTGCAAATAAGGGAAAAAGGACTCAGCCTCAGGAGCTTGCTGGCAATGCCAGTGCCCTCTCTTCTGTTTCCAGCTCAGCACCAGATTATTGGATTGCAGACACAGGTGCAACTTCCCACATGACTCCACATCGTCAGTGGTTCAAGGAATATACTCCTTGCAAAGTCCCTGTTCGTCTCGCAGACAACAATATCATCTATGCTGCTGGTGTAGGGACCATTGTCTTTACTCCAATCAAGAATAGAGTCCCCTTACGCCAAATCGAGTTCTCCAATGTCCTCCATGTTCCCTTACTTGCCAACAACCTCCTATCTGTTCTCTCCCTCACTAGAAAGCACAACTTTGAGGTGACCATCAAGGAGTCAACAATGAAGTTCACTCGTAGTTCTCAACTTCTGTTTGAAGCTTCTGTCTCTGATGAGAACAGTGCCTTGTTGGATGGTTCTACAGTGGTTCAGTCTGCTCTGAGGGCCACTCCCTCATCTCCTGATCTCTGGCATCATCGTTTCTGCCATATTGGTAGAAATCGACTCAAACAACTTATCTCTGGGACATATGTGAAGGACTTGAACATTGGGACCTCTTCTCTCTCTTCCCCACTCCCTGACATTTGTGAACACTGCATAGCTGGCAAACACCATCGCTCCCCTTTCCCTCATGCTGCTTCAAATAGATGTACTCAGCCTCTAGAACTTATACACTCAGATGTCCATGGTCCAGTGTCAGTTCAAACCCCTGAGCAGCATAGGTATTGGGTTAGTTTTGTGGATGACTGCACTCGCTATCGCACTATCTACCTCCTTCACAAGAAGTCAGATGTCTTTGCTGCCTTCAAGATCTTCAAGGCTTTTGCTGAGAATGTTAGAACGCGGGGATTCGGACGACTCTGGAATGGAATCGGAGACTTAGCATGGAAGGACCTCGGCCTCAGTGACTCAGGCGGAGCGCTGTGCCATTGCTGGTTGTCCTAGGGGTCCCTAATTTCGGATCTAGCAGAGGGAAAGTCTCTTGGGGGGGAATTCCAGTCGATTTCGGACTGAAACCAAGACGAGTATGTACAAGTGCCGATATATATAATGGAAGGGGCAAAAGCACAAAGAGAACAAAGGGTGACCGAATCGGAACGAAGACGTCCGAACGGGAACAAAGGGTAGAGGGAGCGGAGCGGTACCGAAGGTCATAGGGCAAGACCTGTGATACGTCCGAAAGGAGGTAGGGAGGGCGAGGCCCAGAGGGGCAGGAGGATGAGGGGAAGTGGGGATGATGACTAACTGGCTAGAATAGAAAGAAGCAGTAGTCCAAATAGGGATGAAGGGAAAACGCGAGAAATACATTACAGGCGGCGAGAGTGCCGAAGGCGGTCCGCAAAGCTCGGGGGTTGCGGAGCTTACAGAGGTTACGGAGGCGGGGTTGGAAGTCCGAGGAATATTGGCAATGGTGTTTACATAGTATGAGGTCACCAATGCAATGGACTAAGGCCGAGGTGGAGTCAAAGTCCGAGGTAGGGACTATGACGGAGGCTCGGAGTAAGGTACGAGCGGTGTCCGAGTGCAAAGTACGGAACAGCGGTGGAAGGTCATAACTTGGTGGAAGGGTGGCGGAGGAGTAACGGAGGGAGGAGAGAGGGGATAGGTAAGGGGAGAAGGAGTGGCGGAAAGGAGAGTAGTCAGGTCCGAAGGTGAGTATCAGAGTGGATGGGGGAAGCGTAGGGGGATAACGGGAGGGTGGAGGTGTTGTGAAGGGGGAGCGGAGTAGTAGGAGGGGTGGCGAGTGGGGCGATGTTCGGTCCGAAGGTGAGTATCGGAGCGGACGGAGATAGGGTCGGAGAGGTAAGGGGGAGGTGTGTTTGCCAAGACTGAAGGTGAGTATCGGAACGGCAACAGTAGGTTATGACTCCGGAGGTGAAGAGGGTGGAGGTCCGGAAGTCGGGTTGGGGTCGGGTATGCATGGATATGACAGAGAACCAAACTGGCTATCGCATCAAGGCACTTAGGGATGATAAAGGGGGGAGTATATGAGTAGGGAAATGGATGATTTTATGAAGGAACATGGCATTCTTAGGGAGCACACTACCACCTCAACTCCTCAGCAGAATGGAGTTGCTGAACGCTCTAATCAAATTCTCGATGAGGGCATCACCTCCATCCTGAATGAAGCTAAGTTACCTGGCTCATTCTGGGGACATGCTTTGGGTGCTCTACTCCATGTCCTGAATCGCTCTCCCTCTTCTGCTGTGGAGGGGATCACACCTTATGAGGGCTGGTTTGGACACAAGCCTTCTGTCTCTCATTT